CAAAGACACAATTAAGAGGGAACAGAGAGGTATATAAACATTTGCCTGATTTGAGAAAAACATTTACTATGTTTGTGCTAGAAATAATTAACCAGATAAGGATATTTATGCTAGAACTAACTATGGTAAAAAAGTGATAATAAAAAAACCCAAATTAAACCCAAATCATTCAACATCCATTAAGGTAAAATAAAGTAAATAAATTCAGCCAATTGGTTATTTCCATACGGGTTGATTTCTTTAAATAGTAATGAAATCATTGCTAAAAAATCCATTGTTATTAAAATAAAAAAGTTGGCTCAGCCTACCAAAATTAGATTTGTAAGTTGCTGGTCATTCCCGTAATTAAATCTGTGTCACAAATTTGCAAGAAAAATGGACACTATGACTAATGCATTTACTTGCTGCACTAGTGCTGTCAGGCTGTGTAAATCATTATGCCTGCTAAAGCAGAGTAGATAAGAATTCCATACATTTTCATTAACCAACTAGGCTTTGTGTGTATGTGAGAAGCTAACCTTCACATTCCCTGCTAGCTTTAGCTTTCATCTGGAAGACAAAGTAAATAAAACGCTAGCCTTGACTTGATTAGCCAAGCGGCTGCTCCAAAAATTATTTGAGTTTTTGAACAATATGAACCAGCTCTGTCCCTAGTCAGATAAAACAGCAAAACCATACATACTTGATTTGGACAAAGGAGATTGAAATGATGGGCACCTGGAATAGGTTCCTTCCTCAGACTGACTTATGTAGCCTGGACGCATGCCTCATTTCATCCCAAAAGTTTCAATAGAGGAAGCGAAGCTAATCCAAGATGGCATCATAAAAAGTCTGAACCAACGCTTCCATTTTCAGCTGCCCTTTGCTCTGTTTTTTTCAGGAGTGCAACGGTGACCAGAGCAGAGTCCTCTGAAACCTCTCTCTTCCTTTTGATTTCCTGTCACCACAGACCTTCAGATTGCAGTTACAATTCTTTGTTTAAGGTGAAGCTGATGCTGTTCCTTTCATACTTACTGTTCATAACCCCAAGGCACCAAAGAACCAGACAGCATTCACTCATATCACAAGCTGGGTACTCTCATGAGTTTCCAAGCCCACTGTGTCAAGCGGAAAGATTAATGAGAGGTAGAAAGAGATTAGACAAGGCTGTTTCTAGTCTAGCAGTGCAGAGCATTTTGTGAGGACATTCTCTTTCACGCTTTAGGCCCTCTCCTTCTTCCATGCACATGGCATTATATTGTCACTGCAAATTGAGCTTAGCTCTCAACCGAGCACGTGTCTCTGCTCCAGTGCAAGAACAGCTTCAATGACAGGCTATGCCTTGGTGATCTTAAAGCCAAAGAGCTGAGCCACCCAGGCAAACACCATGGCATGGCCATCAGCACAGCAGGTTTTACAGTAACCTGCCTACTTGCTCTGCACTTTGGACACTAACAAGCGTTATTTTTCTGTTACAGTACAACTTTTAGAAGCAAAATAGAAGTGCTGAGGAAGTATACCATATTAAGAATCTCAACAGACCCATACTTAACATCCCAGACAATTTCTTTAGCCTTTAGGTGTAGAAGCATCCTCTCCTACAAGTGGAAGCAGCTACCTCAGTGCTTTCTATCTCAGCAGATCTTAGCACGCATTTGCATGCTTTACAGTAGCAACCTGGCTGATAACCAAGCAACCAGTATTAGTAAAACGCTAACAGATTTTATTAAAACCCCATTAAGAGGAAAAACTGAAATCACTTATTATGTTCCACAATTATTGTAAACCAACTGTTTAAACGAGGGGAGGAGATAATGATATTAAATACCCAACTCAAAGCAATCCTCTGTGGTATGATTCTAAATATTCTCTTGGCTGAAATTTATGTAAATTGAATTCATCTATCGTTAGTTATTACTAATCTAGCTACATAAAAACACTTTTCTGTAACAATTAGTTCTTTAAAACACTGTGTTTTAATTAGACCTGGGACATTATTAAACTAAGTGTAAATATGTACAGTATCATTCCATGCATTGTTTTGCTTGCATATTTATAGGAATATGGGCTTTGGTGGAGTTTGAAAGGAATTACTTTGTGGCTCGTTGGTAGGTTTTTTTAAATCTCCTTACCAGTGAAAACACCTCCAAATGCTTAATCTAAGTGTATTTCTGCTCACCAAGACACATTTGGCATTTCTACATTTTGCGTATCACAACGTGTTCCTTTTCATCTGAATAAGCTCATCTCAGTATCATTCTAACATTATGCCAAGTCTTTTCCTGCAGACATTTTGTTCCACAGTTTATTTTAATTTAACTTGTCAGGGACCATTTCCTAGTCTAAAAAAAAAAAACAAACCAAAAAAAAAAGATTTAAAAAAAAAAAAAAAAAAAAAAAAAGAGTTAAAAGCATAGCACATCTTTCAGCCCTTTTAAATCAGCTTGCTTCACACTATCACACCCTGGCCCACGGGGCATAGGCTGAGAACAGACACCGTACTGTCCTCCTGGCTTTGTCAGGACTATGCACCAGCGCAGCAACCCGCCCGCGTGCTACACATTGTAAGACAGGGATCATAAGAAAAACTGCAGCCTTGCCGATGGTCAGATCCTTCCAAATTATCTCCAGGACATGTATATGGTTATGGTCACAAAAGTGTATAACTACATCTAAGCCCATCCACAGACAGCACATCATCAGACACTAATAAGAAAAATGCAAATGTGATTTAGATTCATCATGAATTAAAGATATAGGAAATAAGATTTCCACCTATAGCCAAGCCCATAAGTTAGGCACCAATATAAACTGATGGATTTCCAAAACCACCACCAGGACCTTCCACAGGCCAATTATTTTCATATTTTATAGAATAGTTTTGACTTCAAACAAGTGCATGTGTGTGTGTATAAATATGTACTTAATGATTCACTAGTAGTTCACAGGAAACATAAAAAGTAAGCGATCACATGCTAGGGACATTCAGGGGCCACTCGATTAAAGGCCATGTAGACCTACAGCACTGTGAAACAGGTAAACAATGCCAGCTACTTATTACAGTCCCTGGCCTACTATCACCCCATTGCATTTTCAGTCATAAGGTTCATCCTATCAACTGCACAACTAGAAAAGTTTGTAAGAGCAAAGCTTTCAGTAAACATATTTGTGATTTATTTTGTCATACATACATATTCCCTACATAATCATGATTTCAAACAAGGATACCACAATAAATGTCTAAGTATTTGTATGTATTTGTGACTTAATAGTGGCCACTTTCTTTATAATTTTATTATTTTAAGAATCAGTAATTAGAAAAAAATCAGCTGATATTGTGGTTTGATTCTAACTGATCTTTCCTGGGAATTTTTTTAACAGGAATGTTTACTGCAATGCTGCTCCAGGATTTAAAAAAATATATGAATTGAATAAAAAGTGAAATGAAGTAATTATGTGTAATCGGAACTTTCCAATGATCAGTTCCTGGAACTAAGATCAAAACCAAAATCAGGAGTATTACATGAATACACAAACTAGCTCAGCTTCTTTAACTGAGATTTCTTCAAAGAGCTACAAACAGGTCCTAGAAATTAAAATATGTTTATGTTGCTTTACTAGGAGCCAGCATTGTAGTCAGATGCTCTGGGGCCTAAATTCTTATTTGAAGTCAGAAGCCATTCTCCTAATGACAGCTGAACTGAGGCCTTGGGGTATTCAAGTAAACCTCCTGAACTGAAAGCGAGGGACAGCAGAGAAACTGAGGCTCGTGCCAAGCAACAAGAGAAAATGCCACGCACATACACAGGCGTAAAAGTTGCTCTAACACTGGGATTCCACAGTTTGAGGCAGAAAGCACCTTCTGCACATTGGAGGAGAACACAATAGGCGACAAAAAAGAACAAGTATTTGAGAATTGATACTTCAAAGACGCGAACGGTCATCTATGCCCACAAATCTTATGCCCACCCTCCTAACTTTAACCTGGTCTCTCAAAAAAGCAGCAGCACAATGCATAACTTCAAAACGTCATGCAACTTTCTCTCTTTGCAGTACAGCTTTACATACTTAAACTTCCAAACTCCAGCTTTTCATAAAATAAATATGCATGAGTTAGCAGTTTGATTTTAATTTCCTAATTTGAATTCTTTTGTCGTTTACTCATTTTATACATCATAGTCCTCTTTGCTGGGACACAGATCAGAATCACAAATGCATACTTCTAAACACGCACAAATTTTAGTAAAGAACAAATTGAATTATTAGCTGCCTAAATAAATAAAACAATCAGTTACAGTAGCTTGCCTACATATAAAGTAATTTGTATTTAATATTCATTAACGTCTCTCTAAACAACATATCAATAAAAGAAAAAAATCTATTTTTCCTTTCTTTGTAAATATATATAGTCTTCTTCACAGTGTTCTTTTGTAGACCATCAGGCCCACAAATACTGTTTTAGCTTTTTACAGAAACGCTTGTATTTCCAGCTGGATTGACTGCTTTCCCATACCTAGCTCTTTTAGCGTGTTCCTCGGAGACATTGAGTGGCTTCACTGACAGTGAAATATGCTAAACAAATGACATGTCACTGAGTAAATTAGCATCTACTCTCTGATCAGCTGGGTCATGTTTTCTTTTCAAAATCCATGGCCTCTTGATAGAAAATAATGAGTATTTGATGGGCCTTATTAGAAAAATCAATATATTGATGCCCATGCCTGAAACATCTGCATAATAGATTCTGTTAACCCATTAAGGAGAAAATTAAGATGTGTTTACACATTATTAATTTACCATGAGCAGAGCCAATTTATTCACTACTTTTCTCAAGAGTTTAGCAAAAAGAAAAGAAATTGTAATATCTGTGTTTAATGGCACGGTGACATAAATTGAAAGATGATTCAAATTTTTGCCAGCTAAATGGCACAACTCCACTAATGTGAAAAATACAAACACACCAACGATACTGTTAAAGATAAGACTATTAAAGCACTTGCTATAAATACTGCATTACTTACCAAAAAACTTCCAAAAGCGGAATTAAATATAGCAGCTGCCTGAAGAGAGAAAAAGATAGATATCACCAATGGTAAAATAGCTATCGTACAAGAATAAAACATTATTCCCCTGCCCAACAAGCTTTTAGATTCTCCAAATACACATACACGAAGACCATTAGGCAGTTAGCCACTGCTTAAAAAATTGCCAGTGGCCTGTAACTTATGGAGACTGATAGGTTCTAGTTTATGCATTCATAAATAATGTGCTAAAACGGACAAAAGCAGGAGGAGAAGAAAATCCTTGCCAGTAGACTTAAGAGGAATATCCACAAGAACTAGGATATTACAGAGAACCTTGGTCTCACTGCTTTTGCTCTCATTTGCCAGAAACATTTTTATGTATTGACCTATTCATTAAAATAAATATAATCTGATTTAACTAAAACACTGCATTTTCATAGACTTTTAACAATTTTTAACAGCATATTAATCAGGCAAGCAAAGCAATTTAAGTGTTCATCATAATAAAGTATTGATAAATTCAGACATTTCTGTAGTTTGACCAACAAATTTAAAACAGAAACAACAACAAAACAAAAACAAACAAACAAAAAAAAAACCAAAAAACAAAAAAAACACACACACACCACACAACAACCCCACACTTCTGAGGCCAAAACGTCTGATCATTACTTTTTACTCCATAGTCTTCTAAAATAAGAAAATAAACATTTCGGTAATGACTTTAGAGGTGTTTGCGCTTACCTAAATATCCAGGAAATACAAGGTAGCAGTATTATTTCTTAACGTTAACTCATTAAATTCCAAGAAGTTAAAACTCGAGTCTTGAACAGCTTTCCCCAATTACCAAGAAAGAACAGAAACTCTTGTATGGCAGCCAGTCTGATGAAAAGCCACACAGCAAAGGTAAGAGGAAAGGGAGGAGGGAAATCTACCATTTACATGAAGATTTAGAGCAGAGCCAAATTAATCACCCTGGACACTTCCAGCCACAGATTAATAACAAGTGGATGCAAGCGAGTTTAGCAAGTTTGAATAAAGTCCAAAATCAGGGTAGGAGCTGTAGCTGAACCTGCCTTCTGCTCCATAAGAGGATGCAATGAAAATGAATGGGTAATGAGATCCTTGGCTCTAGAGAGCTTAGCTTTCTTTTTCAAGTTCATAATTAATTCAAAGCTTTGATAATTTCATTAGATTCCTCCTCTGCTGGCCCTATCAATAAAAGATGGCACTGGACCGCAGCTCCTCAGTGGCCCAAATACAAAAACAAATGCAGACTGGGAAACCTTTGCTGACTTGCTTACTAACAGGGACAATGGCATATGGCACTCCATGTTGCGGAGGGAGCATCTGAATAGATACAGCTAAATAAAACATTATAGTTGACAGTTGTAAACTACAGTAACATATTTTAACACCTCTTCCTCATCAGCATACCTTTTTTGAACATTAAAAAAAAAAAAAAAAAGAGGCAGAAGTCCAAACACCTCCTCTTGCCAGACATCACAGCTGAAAGCAAGAGTGACTACTACTTAAAACAGTTCTTCAACAAGTGTGAATTAAGTCAGGATTTTCTACTTGTATTTGAAGCTGTGCAGATGACACTTTCACGTGCCAAGAGAGAGACACATCACACCCACGCACATAAACCTATGGCAAGGGATCAGTTTCAATACAGGAGATGTCCTTGTAGGTATCTTTTGTTAATATATCCCTCTTAAGGTTCCTATTATATTATTATTAAAAAAGCCATCAGGTTTATCAAGTCTCTTTGGTATTTGTTGGACGTGTCATTCTTTTACACAGACTGACTGCGTTCAACCACTTTAATCTGATAAAGATGCAGAAAGGTCCCTTCTATTACATCCTCCCTCTGAATCCATGAATGAGGATCTAGACTTCCATTTTTAAACACAATTAAATATCTTTTCCTTGCAAAACAGCCTTTGCTATATAAAACAGTGTATAGCAACTGTGAAGATCCGAAAGCAGAAGCATCTGGGCTCCACTTCTGCACCAGAAGGCTGGGAGGAAACTTAATGGTCCCCTCCTCCCCACACAGATTTTGTGTGCAGAGTAACAGCCACATTTCTGTCTGCTACCAAGAAGTGTATCGCTCACCCTCTTCAGGAAAGCTGGTGAAGTCCACATAAAACGGATAGAGAGCACAAAAAGTACCCCCTTCCTCCCTAACATGCTGAACTCACCTCCCTGTCTCAAAAATAGCCAGTCCTACCAGAAGCTGGCTTCAGGCCAGACTCTGCTAACAGCGGAGGTGAGCCTGCCAGACCACGGCCAGTAACGCAAGAGAAAAAACTTTGGGGCCAGGCAGCCCTCAACGCTTTTCCCGGTCATTTCAACAATGCACAAAGAACAAAGCAGTAGCTGGCAAGAACTGATACACTTAGAAGGACACTGTGCACCTAGTTTTAGCCACACCAGTGGCTACCAATCCTGATTTAAGGACCAACTAAAGACATGAAAGTTTTTTACTTAAAATATGCTGTAATTCCATTTCCGGGAGAAATTTTGTACCTGGAAAGGTGGTAAGGAGAGATACTAGATGGTTCTGGTGGTATGTATTTTGGCCATCAACAAGCTTCTTTTCCTTCTTTCTTCCTGACTCACCAGGAAGATTTCTGGGTTGTGTTTTTTGGGGGGTTTTTTGGTTTTGTTTTTTTTTTTAATATTCTCAAGCATAGAACAGGTACTAAGACAACAAGCTTGGACAAATTTTATGCTTCAGGTATTCAGCCAGTCATGTGCAAAAGTCATAATTCACGACTGGTCCAGGGGTACACTAGTTTGCAATTTTTAATTCCCTTTCTCCAAAGTGTCAGAGATTGTCCATGGCAGATGATTAAACACTCATTATAGGCAAAAGAAGGAAAAAAAAAAGAAAAAAAAAATCAGGAAGACCATAAATTAAGCTATAATTATTCAGATGATTTGCCTCAGTGAGGGAGGACTTACACATGTTGATTACTCTATTTGCAGATTTCTTTATAAACATCTCTCCTGCAAAATAAACTTGGAAGTAAATTTTTCTCATACCCACAAACCTGGGGCTTATATTTGTGATTCTGGTTCAGCTCAAACAAACTGGTAGTAAACTGAATCAACTGCTCCAATTTGTAATTAAACGTACCTAGTAGCATGACCCTGTAGAATTTAAACACTCTGTGCTTCCAACTCCCTTCTATCAAGAGGGATAATATTGCCTACATACCTCACAGGGCATTGTCAAAATTAATTCATTGCTTAAAAAGCACTCTGAGATCCTTAGAGGGATGATACAAATAAACGCTAGTGCTGACACATGATACAGCTAGGCTCTTCATTTTCTATTTGAAACATTTATTAGTCACTATTATTGTATAACTTTTTTTAGCGTTTGCTCCTTTTGTGCTTCAACAGATATCAGACCATCTGCAGTCAGCTTAAATGAAACAATAAAACACAAAAACATTTAGATGTCCTTATAATACTCCAAGTTCAGATTTGCATGTGTTTGCAAACCATTTATTGCACTTACCATTAATATGAGGGGAGAGTTCTCTATAAAATCAATGGTAAGATCCTTTCAAAAGGTAAATGCATAGCTATGCATTGAAATGCAAGGTCAGACCACATTCAAAAGCAGCAGTAGTCACAACCAGACCAATTATTCACGTCTACATCAACTCAGAGACAACAAAGACTGAAAGTCACTGCCAGTACTCTTAACAGGGCTTGTACAGAAGAGCACGTACACCTCCACTTGAGTTTAAAGTAGTACACACTAGCTCCACTAAACAACAAATTTACCAGGTACAATTTCAGTCAACTCAGTATGGCACTGGGCTTGAGGGAACTCTCTCTCGCTGGTTGACATTTCCAGAGAGGATCAGCTGGCCTGAAGCAATCTAAAGTGAGAAGTAACCAGCCCACCTCTGAAGGAAACCTATCCGGCAGTACTTGGCAGAAACTTTCCTCTTCCCATACCTGAGCCTAGCGCAAAGCTTCAGCCCTTCATCTCCTACCTTATCCTGGTAAATATCTACAGAAAACACCACTAAGATTTGGAACAGTGACAGGAACAAGATCCAAGACGGTCCTTGTAGGACCAAAGGGTAGAAGAAAAAGGCAAAGCCACAACCAAGGGGCTGAGCGCTTCTCTGCAGGTGGGTACCCAAATGCAGCAGCAAGTACACACAGCATTCAAGTACACATGACTGGGCTGCAAATCAAACAAGCACGCTAAGGTTTCAATAGCATTATCTACAGAATACATTCTGAACTCTGTTCCGTTTCCTTTTATTTTTGGTAACAAACTAAACTATCTTGGAACTTATTAGACTTTTGATAATAATATAGCAGGACTATATTAAAGAAGAGGAAAAGTACGCTGGCAACATTTGGATCACCTGGGTTAAAAACCAACTTTTTATCATTATCAGCAGGATCTGAATGAAATTGTTACGCACAACTCAACTGGAACTACAATTTCTTTTACTGCAGAGTCACAGGGAAACAACAGTGCTTTATATGTGGGCCATATGAAAAAGTGAAAGGCTTTTTTGCCAATATGTATATACTTTTTTAACTCTAAACCATTTGATTCTCAAGTGTCATTTGGCAGCCTTTAGGGAGGTAACCTTCCTAACTGGACTTAACCCTATGCTTACACAAGGACCTGCATCCCCCAGGCACCCCACAGCCAAGAGAGAGCATGGTACGCACACCATGACCTGTCCAGCCCCGAGCTGTCCCTGCTCTGTGGAAAGGACATTCCAGGGCCAAGGCCACAGATGCAGAGTAACAAAATTAAATGGCCTCAAAACATCTCAGAAGGAAGCGGCTTGGGCATCACACAAAGCTGCTCTGTGTATGCCTGCAGTTACCTGCAGTTAAAACTAGTGGGATATACAAGTCAAGTACCAGGCATGAGCCTAAATACTCTATTCAACACACGTGGCACAACGAAGAGGAGAGAAAAACCTGGAAGAGTAGAAAAGATCTGGAGAAAGGCAAGGACTCTAGCAGTGCTACTGCAG